GTAGGGGGTCATCCTGTACACTGTCCTCAAAGGACAGTAGTATCAGACCATCTCTTTAGGCTCCCTGCTGCTTGCAGGATAAAGTCCAAATCCTTCTAGCTAAGCCTTCAAAAGCAGTCACTGTCTTGCTGCATTTGTTTGCCAGGCTGCCCTGCCCACTCTCACCCTGCCAGCCCTCGGCCAGCCCCCCACAGCGCTCCCAGCCCACTCTCCTGAGCCTGCATTTCTCTCTTGTCTGTTTCCACCAAGTTCCTGCTCTTTCTTTCATGATCTAGCTCCTCTCCTGCCCACAGGGATCTCTCCCGCCTCTGACGCAGCAGCTCTTGTCTGGGCCACTCCCCGCTGACACTCTTTCACTGTTCCCCACTGCAAGACACCTGCTCTCACATGTGGGATTTATCTCTCCGGCTCCACTGCACGCCCTCCAAGTGCAAGGCAGGCTCTTCTTGCTGGTTTTTCTGACGGTACATAGCACAGAGCTTCATCCTCCAATGGTGTCCAGTTAAGGTGGCATGATGCCAGGGTGCTGAGAAACCTGTCCTTGTGTTTATTGGTTTATTTTATTCATTCTTTCATCAGTTGTTTATTGATTTCCACAGTAGGCTAGGCATGGGAATTTGATGATGAACAAAATAGAAATAATCCATCGTGGAGCTTATGGTCATGTAGGAGAGTTGGATTCTCAAATAAATAAGAATAACTCAAAGAGTGGCAAAGGTCATAAAGGAACCAAGAACCTTCCTTCAATGTTCTTCATATTTTACCTGCCCCATACGTAGGACCCGCTACATAATTTGCAGGGCTCAGTGCAAATTGGCAGAGCATTAAGCCAAGCCCAGAGACTTCCAGGACATGACCAGGAAGCTGGCCCTGCCCATATTGGGTACTTTCCTGAGACAAAAAATAAGCAGAGAAACTCTTCATTTGACTTGAAATCCAGCTCAGTCTATTTCGTTTCAGAGAATGCCATAAGCTATGAGGTGGCCGTGTGTGTGGATCACAACATGAAGTTCTTGTGGCTATTTCCTGCTTTTCAGATTGCTTGTCTTACTCAGCTCTGCAAGTACTATCCAGAAGGTGCTATGGGAAACAGAGATGCAAAGTCATTGTCAACAATCAGCACTTCGGAAGCCCCTGTCTGCCAGGAGTGAAAAAATACCTCACTGTGACCTATGCCTGTGGTAAGAACAGACCCAGCTGCCTGAAGACCCTGCCTCTTTGGGGGGCGCTAATGACGTGGACAGCAGGAGTTTGCGTGGAACAAGCCACACAACTCTCCTCCTGGTGCTGGATATCCCAGATATCCAAGAGGTGCCCCTCTTTTTTCCTATCCTTTATTCTTGTTTGTGACATTCACATCAGATAAGCAATAGAATTTTCTTGGGTCAAAATTTGTTTTAAAAGTGCTTTGAGCAATCAGATCGGCAGCCAGTGGGGAGGGTAGGAAAACAAGCAAATAAGGGTAAAATTGAAATCAGTGATTTTAATCTTGGTTCTTAAGAGGCTCTCGAATTTATTGGGATGTCATGCAAGTTCACAGCGTTACTGTCTGGCTCCAGCGTGACCTCTCCTATTGCTTCCAGGCCCTAAATGACGAACTCACTGTGCTGCCAACAGCTACTTTATCAGTGTGCCCACAGCACTGAGTCAACGGATCAAATGTTTACCGTAGAACAATTAAAAATGTTACGCGACAGCATTACTTTGTTTTCCTAGTGTCTTTAAATAATAAAACGAGATGCTTGCTTTGTTCAGATTCTAATTTCATAAAGCTACTTTAAAGGAAATCAGCCGTTCGCTATTTCCTGAGGGTACGATGGAGTTCCAGTTTGTAATCCCAATATGCTGGCTGTTTTTTTCTTTTCTTTTTGAAATGAGCATAAAAGCAAAGGACAGCAAAAAGAACTATAACCAAGGAACTTGATCCCTGTGTTCTTGGAAACTTCTTTTTCTCTTGCCAAACATCCCTGGGCACTTTTTTTTTTCTTTTGGTAAGTAGCTTCGTTGAGAAACCATTCACAGACCACACAATTCACCTGTGGAAGCATATAAATTAATGGCTTTTAGTATATTCACAGAATTGTGCAACCATCACCACAATGAGTTCCAGAATATTCTCATTACCTCTAAAAGAAACTATCCTCTACCAGTTATGCCCCCCAACCCACCCATCACACCTGTCCCCAGCTCCAGGCAACCAACAATCTATTTCCTGCCTTTAATGGATATTTGCCTGTACTAGACATTTCATATAGACGGAGCACCCACGGCCCGATCCTTGGTGTCTGGCTTCTTTTCTTAGCACGTTTCCAAGGCTCATGCATGTTTGAGTGTGTATCAGTGCTTCGCATCCCAGACTCATATCCTGAACTAAACATTTTGTTCTCTGCATTATCAATGCTGTGATAAGTACCATGAAGCCACTGCGTAAATGTGTTCACGCACACCCACACTCACCTTGCAGGAGCCATGACCAAGCAGCAGTGGGTGGCAGTAAGCCCCTTCTGCCTGAGGTTCCCCTAGGAGCCAACATTCATCACCTGAGGTTCTCGTAACTTCAGACCTCCTCAGCTGAGGGTTGAATGAGGAGCAGGACTTCAGCCTGCTGGAGGTCTGATGCCTTCCCATGTTCTGGTATTTTCCCAGGGCCATGGCTCCTTTGACCTGGGGTTGAGATGAGCTTTCAGAGCCCAGGGGCCACATGTCCCAGTTCAAGCTTTTTTCCCTCAGTCACTCATTCAGCATGGTGTGGGCATGTTCTATGTGTCAGGAGCTGTCCCAGGTGCCAGGGATTCCATAGGAAACAAAGAGACACGGTCCTGTCCTGGGGTTTATGATCCGGTGAGAGAGATGGACATTGAATAAATAATAGTCAGACACAATGTTACCCATTGTGATAAAGATATTTCAGAAAAGAGCAGGATATTAAGAGAGGGGATAGCAGTGGAGTGGCCCTAATTTATCCTGGGAGAGGTGGTTCAAAAAGCCTTCCAGAATACTCCTCTGGAGTGAACTTTCCGCCGCACCCTAGGAAGGTGGGTGGCATCCGGCCGTTTGGTGCTGAGAGGTAGAGGAAGGGAGCTGGTGAGGAGGAGGATGGTGCTGGAGAGGACAGGACCCGGGTCTGGGGAGGAGTGCCAGTCACGTTCCGAGCACACAGAACACTAGGATTCTCCACCTCGTTGAACTTAGAAATGTGGTTGTGACTCCATGTCATCAGTGTCGTCACTTCTAGGCCAGAGCATAAAGGAGGCCTGTGAGGTCTTCATGGGCACGTTGTCTCTTCAGTGGGAGCCGCAAAGACGTCTTGGCCGTAGGGCAGAGGATGGATGGGGGTGGCAGAATAGCAGCGGGGGAAGACCAGGAGGAGAAGACGGTCGGACCAGGAGGAAGACCAGGAGGAGAACGACTTAGCTGGAGTGGCACCAGGAGACGTGTAAAAACTGGGTGGCTTGGAGAACCCTTTGGGAAGTGGAAATGAGAGATACTGAAGAGACCAGGGGTGCTGGTAGGGTGGGGGTCCGGGAGAAGCAGAGAGGGTGAGGTGGATCTTGGATGGGAGGGAGGGCAGCTGTGGGAATGGATGAGGAGAGACCTTGGAGCGCCTATCACGTGGCCTCTGTCTTCTCTAAAACAGTGTGAGACGAGGACCTCAGTGGTGGCACAGGGGGAGAAGAATGGGGTTTGAGGAGTTGAGGGAACAAAAGAAGCTCATATGATGGGCCTGACTTGAGAAGGGCAGTGCATGGCTG